ATCGTAAAATAACTTAGTCCTGATCGCGTCTAATCATCAACCGATATGCATAATAATTTTTTGAACTAACATTCTTATTTGTTTTTGCACCTGTTGCGGGATCTTTTTGTTTAATATTTATGCAATACCCGTCATTTACTACCAAAAATAAAATTAATAGTTTTTTAATAATTTTTTAATAGTTTTATTTAATATAATTCATTTTCAATAGCGCAGTTATCGACCTGGTCAAAAAATATTAAACCGATTTCAACCCTTTAAATTCAAAATTTCGAAAAATCCTATCTTAGCGCACATCTACATCATAATAGCTATCTCTATGCCAAATTTCAGCCAGATCCGTCCAATGGTTTGAGCTGTGCGTTGATAGCAGTCAATCAGCTTACTGTTTTATATATACAGATAATAATATATATATAAAAATGTTATTATTCTTGATACACATACTTTATTATAGTTACTATAACGATAATTTTTATAATTATTACTACAAATTGTTATTATTGTTGTTATTACTTGAATTATTATTTAATAATTATTTATTATTAAAGTGTTAAATTATGTGAAATATATGTAAAAATTTGTTTGATAATTTATTGATATATCTACAAAGATTAAAGTAAAAAACGCCAAAGGTAATAACATTTCTATAATTGTTTTCTGCTAGTTACCTGTTTAGTTATTAAAATTTAGGTCTTAATAGGGCACAATTCACGCTCATGTGATAGCGATTAGTATAATACACAAGTTAAAAAAAATTCATATCATTCATGATTTTAACGAATAAATTTATTCAGAATAAAAAATTTTTCTTTATTCATAAATAAATTAGTTATTTATGCTATTATTTTTTATTCTTTATTTTGATTTGTTTTTGCCCAACTCTGCCCGTAACATACACATACATACATACATACATATATACATTATATATGTGGAATTTGCGAAATTTGCGGAATTGTTTTGTTTATAAGTGGTTATAAATATCTACACAAATCTTCAAATGTTTCTTAATGTATCGTGATTTACAATATGGCATGTATTTTAATTTTTTTTTTTTATTATTTGGTTTTAATACTGTAAAGATATCTTTTGAGGTGTTTTGGATAGATCACATTTTTCATTTATTAAAAATCAAGTATGAAATGTATTTATTCAATGATTTGAATTTTGATGTAATACAATAATATTATTTTGTTTTATTCTCTTTCGACAAAATTTGAAAATTATTAATGAATAATAAAATATATTTAATTTATATGTTTAATTATGGATGCAAATTATACTTACATGTTTCTTTTATTTATTGATTACTAAATCGTTAGTTAATATTGAGAGTAGATTTTTTACGTACTTTTGAAGTGTTTTGAGCTACAATGTAATGATAATATGTTATTTGTAATCATCTTTCATTACTTAGTAAATTTTTTTAAGAAACGTTTAATTCTCACATTTTTCACCAACTTGATATATATATATTTTTCTACTGGTTTTATGGTTTGTATACTTACGTGTTTCTTTTATTTATTGATTACTAAATCGTTAGTTAACATTGAGAGTCTAGATTTTTTACGTACTTTTGAAGTGTTTTGAGCTACAATGTAATAATAATATGTTATTTGTAATCATCTTTCATTACTCAGTAAATTTTTTTAAGAAACATTTAATTCTCACATTTTTTGCCAACTTGATATATATATATTTTTTCTACTGGTTTTATGGTATGTAATATTTTCCTAAATTATATTTTTTTGAGAAACCCATTGATAATACAATGTAAATCAAAATTTATGGGTTACAATAACTGTTAAAAATTATGTATTTATAGAAAATACACAAATAAAAATTGACTAGAAAATTAAAAATACATAAAACTATTGACATTCAAGTACTTTTAATTTTTTTGGTTGTTAAGTCGTTTTGCTATAGTACTTATTTGGTTTTTATCAATTGTTTAAAACTTATAAAAGTTATTTAAATTTTTATTAATTTTACGTTTTTAATTTTAAAGTTATGTTGATGTGATATGATCTCATTTAGTGTATTTAGATTTACGAGTAATTTTAGAAGCAATATTTTTTTAATTTGTAATTCATAATTGTTTAACACAAGCTGACAGCTTATGACATTTTAAATATATATTTAGATTTACGCATCTTAACATTATTAAGTGTTCCTAAACATAGATAAGAAGATGTTACAATACAAGTAACATTAACATTTATACTAGGTAAAAATAAAGATAGTTCTTAATGTTATGAGAATTGCTATGATCATTTTAATCTGAATCTGAATTTCTATTACTTTGGCATTCTTTATATTTATCATTTCGGAAAAAAAAATGTTGTACATACTATAATTCAAATTTTCTTAATTTCAATATCGAGATTAGGCTAAGTTAGGAGACTAGGCCTAATAAACTTTATGTATGTATATATGTTTACATAACCTGTGGGTTTACTTTCTTATATTATCATTATAATATCGACTGGAAAAAGCAAAAGGGGCTAAACGACAATTTTACTATTTTTCAGGAAAGTAAAAAACAAAATTTTCATATTTTCTTAATTTTGGCGTTGGAACTTCGGTATTTATTTAAGCATTAGGAATAGGGTTATTATGATATTGGGACAAAATATCCAAGGTTAAAATATCCAGGGATAAAATAACCAATATATAGGACAAAATATCCAAATAAAAATATTATAAAAATCTGTATTATTAATACATGTATAATTTTTTTTATTTTAATACATTATTGTTCATTTTTAGATTTTACATTTTAATTACATTTAAATACATTTACATTTTAATAACATTTAACATTAATAATACTTTATAATACAATTATAAAATGATAATAATAAAAATAATATGTTGTGTTACATAATATTTATATATTTAGTTTTATATAGTGCGTTACAACGTAACATAGTTTTATTTTTACTAATATTATTTTATGACTATATTATAAAATATTAAGTACTGTTAATTTTGATTTAAAATTGAACAATGTATCAAAATAAAAAATAAATAAAAAAATAAAAAAAATTATGTTCAGATATACAGATTTTTATTACATTTTTATTTGGATATTTTGTCCTATACATTTGTTATTTTATCCCTGGATATTTCATCCGTTGGATATTTTAACCTTGGATGTTTTGACTTGGATATTTTAGTACAGGATATTTTGTCCTAGATTCCTTAATATATATTTCCATTCTATTACATGTTATCTTGCTGATCTGATACTAATTACATTGAAATATTAAGTACATTTTTTTATCATAACTATTTAAACTAAAACTTCCTTTTTTTTGGCGTTTAACTATAATTTTTTTTGTGTGATGAATTGCGCTTATAAGATTGTATAGTAGATTTGTAACAATTGTGCAACGTATGCCTAGTGCGTACAAATAACTTTACTCATGTTATCATTTATATCAATATGAAAAATGGTTAGATATTTTATACTCATAGGTCATATTATTATTATTATTATGAAGGTTGATAAGCGACAATCGTAAGGGCTAAGCGCCATGAATTTGTCGCTTAGCCTATTAAATTTTCAATAGAAAAATAATTATTAAATAATTTCGCTTATACCTTTAAAAAAGGCGCTTGTCATTTACTTTTATAACAGTTGTATCACTTGTCCCAAAAAATCTAAATTCTAGTACTTACTAAATCTCATTACTAAATGGTCAGAGAAACACTAGCGCTAGTGCGATCGAAAGATCTAAATGTCGGTTATCTCGTAGTATACGAGAGTAGTATACTAAATGTTGCTTATCCCCATTTGTCTTTAACCACTCGATATTACAATATAGTTATGTATATTTTAAAATAAAAAAAGTGTAATATTTTTTTTTTTTATTATTCTTTTATTAAACTTTAAAACTTTTGTAATGGATAAATCATGGTAGTTAAGTCATTATTTTAGGAAAAACACCTATATTTGTTCTTATTTTATTTGACATGTTTTGTATATTTAAGTAAATTAAATCACAGTATTGCATTATTTAAATTGTCTTTTCTTTGCAATAATTTTTCTTAATTAAAATAATATTTCATGATTTCTATTTCGTATCTTAATTATCTGCTTTATTTCGCAAATCGCTTTTATATAAGCTCTGTGTTAAACTAAATATACAAATATCACTCTATATTAATTTTATCTTTAGTTCTTATCAATGTTTAATTTTTTAATTTAATAACAATGTATTACCAATATTTACATAATATTTAAATATAACTCCCGAAAAAAAAATTGGTTTCTAAATTAAAACAAAAACTAATTTAACACTTACCTTCACCTAATTCGTCTTATCTTGAAATCTAAAATTAACTTAGCGAACAAAATCCTAATTTATAAATCTGTATTTAGACCTGTATTATTGTACGGAATCCAAATATGTGGGGACTTGCCGTACCTTTTAACATTAGATTATATCAAAATCATCTATATAATTATTAGTTAATTTTTGGTCAATTATTTATAAACCGTGATCCGTATTGTATTATAAATATATATATATTTTTTTTTTCACTGAAGTTCTCTAAAATGTAACTTGTTACTTTTAATATATTTAATTATATATATATTAATAATATCCAAATTTTAAAAATTAATTGTCTTGGAAAATGAATTTAAAATTTAGCATTAAACAGTTATGTAACCATAACTAATAAATATTGCTGACATTAATTTAATAAATATAAAAATTAATTTAATGAATTCACAAAATTAAAACTATAATATGCATTCAGATTTAAGTTAATCACAATAAAATGTATAGCTTTTAGTTAATATAACAACAAGTTTTAATAACAATTTATTTTTATTTTTTCAGTCGATCAGTATAATTGTAATTATTCATTTTACAATTTTTTTTTTAAATTATTTATTCTTTTACAAACTTACTAGGTATATTTTACATATTTTTAACGAATTTATTAAGAATCTTACTTTGAATTAATAAGAAGTACACAATAAGTTAACAAAAACTATGTAGTATACTATGTAAGAACTGTATAAAACCTTTTGGGTTTCAAAATTTGAATTATAATTTAAATATATAATTAAACAAATCTTGGTTTTAAATAGTTTTATATCTAAAACATAAATAAATAATGCATTTTGAAGAAAATCAATCATCTCCGCCAGTCATGACTTCCATGAATTCTATATAAAAATAAAAATACAACTTACATTAATATTTAAAATTTTTTTTGTTTTAATTCGTGTGTTTCGTGAAATATACTGATAAATGATTAGTTATATTAAAATTAAATGCATTTGTAATATAATTGTATTTTTATTTCGTAAAATAAAAATGACATTCAAAACGTAAACAAAAACTTATTTAAGTAAATCAATTATTGATTGAATAGGTAATATTTTTACATTTATTACAGACATAATTTAAATAATTGTGAGTATGAATTTTCCTTTTTTAAAAAAATAAGTATAGACTACTCAGTATTTATGTAACTAATAAAATTCAAAAGATCTATTATTCTTGACATTTTTACAATACCATTATTATTATGTAACTATGGGATAAGGTTTTGTTGAGATTGTTCTGTTAACAATTTTATTTATTGTTAACAAGTTATTTTTTTTAACTAATTAACCTATATAATAATATTTTAGTAGGTCAAAAGTTACCTAGTTGTGCTTTGCCTAGTAACCGTTACTAATTAACAAATTATTTCCCTATTATATTTTACGCTAAATACCTCCCTCCCCTTCTATACGTTTATTATTTACTATTTAATTTTAATTTTCGTATATTCATATTTTAATTTATATTTTCCATCATTCATTTTTAGGATGATTGAAATTATATTTGTTAAAAATTCTAAAAAAATAAATAGTCATAAAACTATATCATGTCTAGACTAGATATTTTTGGCTACAATATTAAAATTTAAAATTACACTTATTGTACATTGTTTGTCTAAATATGTCATATAGTTAACTGTATAGTAATAAGTAAACATATTTTATGTTTGCCAAAATTATAAGTGAAGCCAAATATTAAGGTAGATTAAGATGTTTAAGCCAACATAGTGATTAATAGGAAACTAGATACTTTTTAGTTTTTAGTTTAATATAAGAGTGCAATAATCCTTTCATTTAGTTGAATTAAATTAACTTAAGTAGACGGTATGTTTGAATACTTGGTAAATACGATGATTTAGAATAAATGTTAATTATTATTTTCTTTATAAAAAAAGTTTATTTCTTAAAGAAAAATTGTCAATCAAATTAAAAATATTTTCATAGTACATGATTATATTTTTAGTCTTTTTTTTTTTTTTAAATTTTAGATAGAAATTGTATTTGGTATCATTATATAGTTAATAATTATAGCATTATTGGTTTTACAACTTAATATATGTCACAAATTATTGTTTTTTTTTATGTTATCATTCATTGTTTTACCTACTTTAAAAATACATTTTTTATAATGTACTCTTATGTACATTAATTTTGAAAATAAAGTGTAAATGGTTTAAAATAAAAAATATTTTTTTAGAAATATAGAATTAAATGTTGAAATAAAGTACTATTGTTTATGAATCTCGTTGTGATCATTGATTTATTTTATTAATGTTTAAGACAAGTATAATAATTATTAAATTTATTTCATATTATTTTTACCTATGTAGTATTTATATTTCAAGTATTTTTTGTACCCACAATTATTTGAGACTGTATTGACGAGGTGGATCCAAATGCCAAGAAAAGATTGCTGGCATTTTTCCAGTTAAACATATCGTTTCACTCAATATATTTTTAATGCTTCTCTTATCTCGAGTAAAAATACGAGTTCTTATGAAAAAGGCTATAATATTTTCAAATTTGTTTTGTAGATTTATTACTTTCTTTTGCGATTTTTATAAAATTATTATTAGAAGGTTTAGTCCTTTTATAGTATATAGGAGAAAAATGATAGAATAATGAAAAGTATCGGTGGCATATTAGCCATAAAAATTGATTATATCCCTTATGTATTGTTATCTTTGTATTCTTATTCCTCAAGATTTTTTTTTGAGTTATTGGTTTAAAATATTCATAAAGGACTATTTTTATTGTAAATTGTATTTTCCAGTAATGTTTTTAAGTACTTATCTCTATACAATTAAATATTGTCATCTATTTTTATTCAATCTTAAAAAATAGTAATTAAGGTTTAATTTCAAAAATGTTACAAAAATAACGTATTAAAGTCTTAAAATTTTTTATTTTTCAGTGTTCAAAAAGTGTAAAATTATTTTAAAAGATACATTTGTGGTAAAACTCGTTTCAATGTATTCTTTTTGTATTTTTAAGTTACGTAAAATATTATTAGTTAGGTAATACATTTTTTTTTTTTTGGTTATTTAAATAGCTTAATTTTTAACATTTTTGTTGATATATTTGCTAAATATAGAACTATTTAAATATATGTTAATAAAGTTTACAATTGTTATATTTTACATTTAACTTTTAAATACATTTTCTGTTATGTAGAATTCAATTTTGACCATCTAATTTTTAATTCTATTGGTATTTTTATAATTATTCGAATGATTCATTTTATATATGTTATATTTTAATTACTGAAATTAAATACATTATTTTTTTGTTTTCAAATAAGTTTAAGTTTAGGTAATATATCAGGTGAATCACCTGTACATTACAGATTGTTGGGTATTTTCTATGTATATTATTATTTTTAAAGAATTAAATAAATTATTATTTAGAAAAATTTACGAACCATCAAAGTCTACAGTTCCGGAACCATCAGAATCAATTTCTTCTATCATCATATCTAGATCTTCATTTGTTATTTTGTCGTCCAATTCTTTGAGTATTTCTCTTAGTACATCCGTTGTAATGTAACCATTGCCTAATTTAGGATGAAATTTATATTTTTTTTTATTATAAAATATCATTAAAATATCTATCGAACCTTCTTTATCATATAATCTAAATGCTTCTTTTAATTCTGCTTGCATTGCTTCTACATCTTCCGGTTCATCTTCAGTTAGGAATCCAGCTGCTAGTGTAACGAATTCTTCGAATTCTAATTCTCCTGATCCTAAATGACAAAATAAATAAGTGATGTATTGAACTACTGTACTGAATATGTTAGTTATTATTTTATTTAAAAAATATGTATAAGAAAATACGTATTGTGTTAACAAATTTAGTTAGTTTTTAGAGAATAAACATTTTTAAATAACTAGATTTTGTAAAAACTTTTTTTCTTACCCAACTAATTAAAACAATGTTTTTTAAGTACTTTATTTTAGTTGAATTTTTATGAATTTATTGTTCTTCATGACAATTCATATTTTCTTTGAAGTATTATTTAAAATAGTTAAATCGGCTGGTAAATATTTAAATAAGCACAAATAATATATATGACACGATTCAATAAAATGTAGATTTATTTCTTCTACAGAAAACTTATATTTTGACAAGAATTTTTAAAAATTCAAAAATAAGATGTTAATTTGCAATTTTGTGATAATTTTTTGGAAACGTTAGCTGAATTAAGACATTTTTTTTTAGTAATATCGGTTTAATAAAAAATAAGAATATAAAAAAAATTAAATGTCCATAGTAAACTTATGTACTTATTTAATTTACTTGAAAATGTAATTTTTATATTTCATATCTTCATTGTTATTAATTTATGTTGTTTAATTTTTTAGTATGTTCTTAACATGTTGACTAGATAATGTAAAAATAATTATTTTTATTATTGAATCATAGCCAGAAATGCTTATTTGTATGTCTACCAATATTTTAATGTCTGATTAAATTTCATTCCTTTAAGTCCAATAATATTGAATGTAAGCCACAATAGTATTTGAAAAAAAATCTTTAAATGTATATTTTATGAAAATGTAGGAGTTATATATATATCCTGTTGCTTTTATATATAATATGACATTTACACGTGTTTGAATTTAGGGTGACCATATTTACTATATTAAAAATCTTTTATTATTCTTGAACGATCTTTAATTTTCGTTATGATTCAGTACTCAACTTCCCAAACCTAAATAGTCTTAATATGCTTATCAGAAAAAAACAAGTATTTTTTACTTGAAAATTAGTAGTGTTATACGAATGATTTTCAGGTTTACGTACCCAGTATTGCTATTATTAACGGTCAACGCTTGAAATAAATATTAATATAAATGTAGTAAGTATGGGTAATAATAATATTTCATTGCTAGTGGGTTACTGCGTATGATGATTATTAAAATTAATAGTAACCAAATTTAATAATTTTTTATGATTATTATTAGTATATATTAATTTTACGATTTTCGATTAGATAATATATGTTTACTGCCATTGATATCGTTTATCCACTAATAAAAATACATAAAAAAAATTGGTAAATCGTGAGTTTCAATCATACTTAATTACATTACATTTTATATTCCATTATTAATTGTATTTGAAATTAAAATATTTCATGTTTAAAAAAAATAATGTACATTAATATTAAGCAATAAATGAAAAACAGATAATGAGGCATCTAGTAGGAAGTTAATACAAAAATTTGAATAAAGGAGAATATGCACAAAATAGCATTTGTAGATGTACCCGTTTAATTAAGTTATTTTAATCATGTATTTTATCTACAATTATATAATTATACATCGTAAAATTGTCCACGACCGAATCGTTTAAGGACAAACTAATGTTTCGTTTTCAATATGTTTCTTTGGTATCCTGTAAGATATATTTCAAATATAATTTGTGATAGAATCATAAAAATGTATATCTAAGTTATGTTTTATTCTAATGAAGATATTTTTTTGTTAGGTATCATGGTTATCAATAAAAATAATTAAGATATTTGAGAATAAAATGGGTTTTCTAGTCTTTTAACGAATTAATAAATACGTTGAGAAATTATAATTGTATATTTTTAAAAAATATCCATATATATATATATATATATATAAATATCCATGATAATTTATTTCCTAGTTTATATTTAATGTATATATTTTTACCTACGTAATTGTTTGTAATTATTCTATAAATTTGCTATTAAAAACATATATATATTTTTTGTGTACAGGTAATTTATATAAAATCCATAAAACGAGAAATCACTATTAATTTATTGGAAGTCAGTATTTTTATATTTTGTAGTGCTCTATTTTAATTTGTTTTATAAAAGTAGGTCTATGCCTCTATATATAATATTTAGGGTAACTTTTACACTTATAATCATTGAGTATAGGGCTTATTCAAATGTAATTAAGCTAATAGTTTATTATGATATTATTATTATACGTATATTATTTTGAGTCGACTGACTAGTTAGTAAAGCATAATTAAATATAAGTTTACCATCCGCATCAACTTCAGCAATGATTTCTTGTAGTCGATCCTCAGAAACATCGTGACCTAACATTTGAAGAATCGTACCTACCATGTTAGTTTCTATGAATCCCTTGTCTTGAGCGAAAGCATCGAAAGCTCTTTTTAATACTAGGACAAATATTTACGGGAATTATTAGATTTTTTCTATTTATTATTTCAGATATATTTTATTAGTATGTTTAAATCTTTAAAATACGTACAAGCTATTTGATCTTTGTCTAAATCGTCCTAAAAAAAAAAAAAAAAATAATATGAATATAGATAAATTTTTAAATTGAAATATACTATTGCCTAAATTACAACTTTTTAACTATTTAATTATTCTCACCTTGGTAACCATTTTAATTTTTTTCAAGAAGTATTGACAATAGAGCTGTTGTTTTCTTGAGTGTACTAAATTGTAAAGAGTAGCCAAATATTAAGGTGGTTAGCAGAGCTCTGCGGGACTGACGCATAGTCGTTATACAATTAAGTGGTCCCTAGCCAAGTGTTTACAGCTCCCTCTTAGCTGTTCAAGTTAAAATTACGCCTATGTATTGCCTCTTTCCTTAAAAGCGTACTATACATATTATTTTTAATGCTATTGTACAATTGCAAGATATTCTTACAGGAATCATTTAGTTGTGTAATTAAGTACTTATGTAATATAATTGACATTTTTGAGTACTATATGAATTGAATAATAACGTTATAAGTAGTTAACATAGTTTTATATATAGTATCTCTTAGAAGTATAGTATAACGTAATTGCATGCTGCGCTTGGTCCTTGAGTGATTATGTGTATCTTGAAATTAATGTTGGAATTTGATTATTTTTTTTGTAAAAAAAAGTCCATAGGTCCATAAATTGGATTTGAAGTAAATTTTATAAATAAGTTGAATTTTGGACACTATTTTGGCACTAGAGTTTGGATCGGCAGCGTTTAAATTTAAATATAAATTGGCGTTCATACAATGAGGACATATTGTATTGATTGTTATTTACTAGAAGACCGCATGTGATTTGTATGCATTTTCTGGGATTAGTATTTATTTACTTATTCTCTAATATTTAATACTGGAAATATAGTATATTGTAATTATATGCATAAGTCTTCACCTAAGTATTTTATACATTTATGAATATTATACGTCTTTGACAATTTTCTTTCATGAGTTCAATTAATAAATACTATTTCTTTTTCTCACACTGATCTTTAATTTGTTGAATTGTTTCCTAAGTAATTATCATAAATGTACAGTATATATATATACTTAGTGCAAGACATAAATTAAAAAAAAAATAATTATTTTTATTAAAATACATAAAATTACATTTTATGAATATAAAGTTGAATAACATTTAGTTATGAATTATTTTGTGTCTTGGTATAATACAAAGCTTGGTATAATGAAGCTTTTTTTTAAGAAAACTTATTGATAGCTCAATCGACTGTCCTGAATTATTACGCCACATTAATTTCAAGGTTCCTAGTTTTCTAGCACATTCATCTTATTCTTTTTTCGTTCCAATTTGCATTCCCGTAATCGACCCATTTTTAGAATGATGCGTATTGCCAATGAAGACCCTGTCTCTTTTGAATATTAGTTGAACTATATTAATGTTATCCTTTTTGCGTGTTTTTTCTTACATATATATAATTATTATTTTAACGTATTGTCATGTTATATCTTAATTATATGTACTTGAGCCACGGCCCGTTCGGCAAAAAAAAGTAAAAATAATACGTAATTTTTTTTTTATATTAAAAAATTGTTTGGCATGTATTTGTTAATATGTTATTTAACAAATAAGTTTATTAAAATCCATCGTGAACCTATTTTATATTTATTAGAAATTATTATGTTTTTGTTACTATAGAAAGTTATTCAAAATTATTTTTATTGAATTTTTTTTGATATTGTATTTTAATAGTTTTTAATTATTATTATTTAGATAGTGTTGGCGTATAAGATTTTATTTATTTATCATATGTATAATACATAATTTGCGTGACTTATAATTCGTTTTGTGTTCTTTTATTTTTTGTCAATTTTGTTGTCATTTGGTGTGATTTGATACAATACTACACACACACACATATACTTATTTATGTATAAATAAAAATATTTATGTTGGTTTGTATATAATTTCTTATTTTTATTTCGTTATGTGACGTTGTTAAGATTATTTCGTTGTAGAATTGAATGTTCACAAAGAAGTGTTTTTTTCAATTGATATTCAACAATTCTGAACACTTCAAATATTTCTGCTGGTGTAATTTTTACCTGTTTATAATAATTAAGTGGAAACTAATGATATAATTGTGTTGAAATGTTTCAAATTTACATTATAAAAGGAAACATTCATTTGTTCTTCAGAATAAATAAAATACTTTCAGAATGAAGTATCAATAATTCGGTATTAATTTTTTTGAAAAAAATAATTTTATTCAAGTTTTATTATATTTACCACTTAGTAAATTTTTAAATATTACACTGTTTAAAAGATGAAATGTTATGAGATTGTAAGTAAAAATAAATAAAAAAAAATATTAGGTAGAATAAACACCTATTTATACTACAAATATCAGGTAGTTTTAAATTAATTATGAGTTTCAAGTAAAAGTCTTTAACAGTATGAACGATTAAAAAAAAAAAAAAAATGAATTTATTTTATATTTATTAATAGTTTTTTTTCTATTTTGTGCAATTGGTTATAATGTATTACCGATTATTATGAAAAATGGTGGGTTATATTTTTTCTCTTATGTATTGAAATTTCTAGAAGACCTAAAAGAATTATCCATATTTTATTTTAGCCGTCGTTTAAAATTATATACAGTGAATATGCACAAAAGTTGGATTCTGTGTTGTAATTGTAGGAAAGCACAGAATTGCTTTATTCATCGATACATACTACATTCTGTAAACGATATTTTCAGAAGTTTCCATTTAATAGTATGTTTTATAATCCCGGTTGACTACCAGAAGGTAATAATAATGTTTGTCATTGCCATTGGTTTGTGGAAGAGAGTGGTTTACATAAGACAAAGTTTTACAGTGTATTTTATTACATAAAACTTACAGGCGTTTCCTTACCTATTAAAAACGTTCTTCCATTTCCTGTTTATTTCCTTCCATAATAGCTTTAATTCGGACATAAATTATTTATCATGTTCTTAACCTAATTGTATAACAATGATTCGGGTTTATCTAAAATACAATTTTGTTAGACATAGGTTATTCAATCAACTATAATAATTATATCAAAGCGATACTAAAGTTATATACATTGTTGTAACGTTGATGTTAACAGATATAACTACTGATAAAATGAAAATCACTAAATTGGTGATGGGTTTCTGTATGAAATAGTAAATAAAATTACTTAACTCAGTACATTTGGATAAATAAATAAGAAATTATTTTAATTGATTTTTTTTCGATAACTTAATTGTTAATTTCAAAAATATGTATTGGTAAATATGATATAGAGTTACAAATTTTTGTTCTGAAACATCTGGAATATTTTATAATTCTGATTTAATTGAAATTAAAATTAAACAAAAATAATAACTTATTCATATTTTCAATATTCTCAGACTTAAATAAATTACAATCCATAAATACTGCTATGGTTGTTTATCACTGAAAAATACATTTATAAGTTTTAATTTTTGACAATACTATGTATTAACTATTGTTCAATATTAAATTTATATTTAAAACTAACTTTTCTTTTGTTTTATTTTAATCCAAGATAGTAATTTTGATGAATATGTGCATGTGTCATAGTATGTAATATGTCGTATCACATTTACAATGTAATACATATAAATGTAATGATATTTTACATCTGTATTAAATGTATTATTCTTGTTATATTAAAACTTATTATCCAAATACGTTTGAGGAAAATTAGATATTGAGTTTAAGAGCTACTATTAAAACGATTTTAAATTCTTACTGAAAAAGATTACAGAAGTTTCTCAATTTGTGATAGCGAACTTATTTAAAAGAAGAAAAACAATTAGGCCATTTTTGCTTGTTCTCATTCGTATTGTCTTCGTCTGACTCGCTTTGGTTATTACTGTTTAGCCTACTGTAGTACTCTATTACTATTATACTTCGTCCTATTGTTCTTGCTATTGATTTGAAGTACACAATATAACTGTTTGAAAAAATCACCATGCTTAACTAATAGAAAATTCTTAATTGCTCATTTTTGTTGTTATTTGTAAGGTTTTACATTTTAAATATATGATGTATTTATTTTATTTATTTCGTATGAATAGTCGAAAAACTTAAAATTTTTATTTATTTTTTTCCAAATTGCTGTGTACAAATTATGATATTACTGCATTAAATTCAATTACATTTGGCATAATTCATAAATAATTTGAAATATTTTTACTTGTTTATTTTTTAATTTATTTACTCAACAAAATAGTTTTATAATAAGTGTTTTATGAACTTAAAAAATCATACCAAGGTTGTGATACCAAGGCATTGAATTAAATTAATTGATTTATGTTGTCTAAAATTTTTTATATTAATTTTTAATACGATATTAATTAAATTTTTTGATAATTCTTTCTTATAATTTTTGTTTGTAATTTTTGTAATTAAATTTTCAATAATATTATGAAATATACAAATGAGTAAATTACTAAAAGAAATTAATGAACCGTTGCTTAATTGCTTTAAATAGTTTAAAATTATTTTGTGTGTTTTGTTATTTTATTTGAACGCTTTCTATGTAATTTATAAATCAAATTAAAAATGTACAGTATTTTGTTATATTCATTTTTATTTTTGTGTATTTATCTATATTGTTATTGTTATTTTCAACAAATTTTTTTGGGTGGATTTTCTTTTACTTAAAATAGTATAAAAATAATATTATTGTAATAAGATCAATTACAAATATTGAGAATTTTTAATGAAATAACTTAATTATGAAATCTAATCTTGTTCTCTGAATTTAGTTTGAAACTTTCAAAAGTACACAATTTTTATTTTACAAAGTTAAAAATAAGTTTTAATCCAATAGAATCAAATATTATTCACATGGAATCATTTTTGACATTAAATATGATTTTAAGAGAAAAGCATATTAAGTTTGATATAATATAAATCTATTTTGATCCTAAATTTTTATTATAAATCCTTTAAACTTTGCAGTATCTGTAACTGTTGAATAATTCTAATAAAATGTGATATTACAACTAATCGCTTTTACCAAAATTAAAATAGTTAGCATTTGTATTTATTATTATTTTTTTTTTTTTTTAATGAAAACTTGTCGGTGAGGTAGTATCTATTATATTATATTAAATCCATCAAAACAATATATTCACTTAACATTTTTTATTTTTGAACTTTTAATCATTTACTTGTTATATTTGACATAGTTAATCTCTCATATAAATTATTTACAAATATTTATGATAATTATTTATTAAATATTAATACAATAATTCATATTA